TGTTAGATTTAAAACGCCCTCTGTTTTTACGACATATTCTAATAATAATCGTTAGTTCTAGTTTCGATGAAGCGTGCTAAAATTTGCTGCGTATTAGTTAGGAATTCGCAGATTCGTGCGTGTACTATAGGCTAAGTTCGTGCGTAGGAAATGAGCTAACACTTCCATATGGTGTACATTACAAGTTTTAAGTAACATCCTGTGCACAGTCACGCATGCACTCATTATAAAAGGCGACTTAAGATAGCGTGCGAGAGAGTCATTCCGCAACCGCTACGATCAGAGGATCAATCTGCTACAAGCTACCTTTTGAGCTATACTTTCTGCTGTGCGAGTCGTCACCAAAGTAAGTTTCTCCCTTTTTTTTTGGTACTCGAATTATTATTGTCAAATGACTAGTCTTTTAATGTTGAAATGTTGTCATGCTACGAAACCAATATTGTCTATAAGTCTTCCTAAATTTTGTTTGTAACACGACTACGTAGCTGACGTTGTATCTTAGCTTTTTGTATGTAATTATCGTTTCAGTTCGAACCTACACGACTCTATTCGACACTAAACTACCCTATATTTCTACTCTACTTCGTTTTATTCTCCGCGACCACGAACTTTGCTACCGTGACTTTCACGATCTGTCATCATCGTCGCAACCAGTGTAATTCGTCTATCTTGAACTGTGATTAAACGTGTGTTAGTCATTCTACGAGTTGAGTTCGAATTGTCTATCGCCTCGCGCATTGCTACCCCTGTAATTGTTGAGTTTCTAAGTACGCGCAACCTTAGGATCTTGGCAGTTATACAAGCTTATTTCCCAGTATGGAAGGGGTTTTTATACTGTTATACATGTATGTTCGTGTATTATGTTCATCAATAACTTGAATTAGGGTTTCAAAGTCAATTTACACATCAGTTGTGACCTCTCACGCGAAAACGTTCCTATCGGTAGCCGTTCGAACAGTGAATGGAACGGCAAGCGAACGGGTGACGAACGGCTGGGAAAGCCGTTCGAAATGGATACTGCGAACGGATGAAGGGCTGATTAAAATTTTGGAACGGATGAGGTCAAACGGATGAACGGCGAGTGAAAATTTTTGAACGGACGAGGTCAAACGGATGAACGGCTAATTTAAATTTTCGAACGGATGAGGTTGAACGGATGAACGGCTAATTAAAATTTTCGAATGGATGAGGTTGAATGGATGAATGGCTAATGAAAATTATCGAACGGATGAACGGTTAATTTTTTGAACACTGAGATGAGTCTCACAGATGAGATTGAATGGATAAATGGTAAGCGGTCGAACAAGTGATCACCTGTAGAAATTATTTGAACAGATGGTTTCGTGAAAATGAATGCTGACACAGGCATCCCAAGCTCTCGTCTTGAGCCAAAGTGAAGGATTATTTCACAAAAGCGTCAGGATTGGGTGACGCAGTGTTAAGTTACGCGAGGTATTTGACACAATCTGTGAAAAGATCACTTGAAACGAGTCGAAACTCAATCATTTGAATAACTCGACTTCGCTTCCAGTGCATTTAAATGGATTATAATTAATATTTTTATTATTGAAGTAGCAACATTAGAATACCCGTCCAACCAAGGAACTTGCACGCGAAAAGCATACAATTCGATAGTTCTCAACTTCAATTCAAGTTTAAATTTCCGTACAAACCCAGCTTCCCTGTCACTCCATCAAAAATGTGCTGCCTTGGTAACTGCTAACAACTTGTGTCAATTACCGCCATTTCACACAGTCACAAAATGGAGAATTCAACGAGAGAAGATATGAATTGCGATCACACCGAAAATGTTTCTACCATCGTTGCCAAAGTGCCAAGTGAACGGCTGATGAATTTTCTTGAACGGATAGCTCAAACCGTTTGAAAGGATGATAAATATCCAAGAACAGACAGCTGGAGGCGTTCGAACGGATCATGAATATTCAAGAACGGATAGCTAGAGGCGTTCGAACGGATGATGAAGTTTCTTAAACGGATAGCTCGAATGGTTTGAACGGATGGTGAATATTCAAGAACAGATAGCTTGAGGCGTTCAAACGGCATGCCAATCCAATCGAATGGCTGATGAACGGCTGGTGAACGGCTATGCATTTAAAAACGGCTAATTGTTTGGAATGTCTTCCCATGAGAGGTCACAGTTATGTAATAATGATCTATTGTAATGATAATCACATATGTTTATATTTTCTACTTGTTTTCGATGCAGTGCAGCCAATAGTCCTATGCCCAAAAACAGAGCAAGTTAAACAAGGTGAAAGGGGCTTAATTTCCTGCAATGTCACTGGTGACCCAAAACCAAACATCACATGGACCAAGGAGACACAACCTGGTAAGGTCATTTCTTACAATTCAACTCTGGTGATTGACAATGCAAGCATCTTTGATGAAGAAAAGTACAACATCACAGCCAACAATGGAAGGAGTGCAAGTGTTCTGGTGGAGTTAGAAGTTATTTGTAAGTACACTACCCAGGTGCATAGTCATTACTCTCTCTACTATTCTTTAATTTTGTACTTAGCGGTTCAATTTGTCTTAGTTCCTCCATCAGTAGAAATATCAAATAAAACAGCCACTGCAGTGGAGGGAGACAGGTTGAATTTTACATGTGCTGCATCTGGCAAACCTGAGCCAAAGATAACATGGACCAAGGTTGGCAGTGCTGAGGTGATAGCTCACACACCATCAGTTTCGGTTATTGTGGAAAGACTTTGGACACGAGATAGCATAAATCAGTATCGCTGTACAGCCAGTAATGGAGTGGGTATACCTGCTACAGCAACAGTCAGCGTCATTGTTCTCTGTAAGTACCAATATTACTTTTCAGACTGTTGTATCGATTCAGTAGTTGTAGAATCTCTAGAGCAGTTTGATTTACATGTAGAACAGTACCCTCTGATATTCTAAATTTCTTAACAATTTGAAACAAAATTGAATTGTCACAGTGATACAAACTGTGGGTGATCCCATCATAATTTTTTCTGTATATGAATTCAGTGTTACATGCAGTTTGCATGCAATGAGATACCTCTGCCACCCAACAATATTTTTATTACACTGAGCAATATAATGTTACAGCTTCGGTATACCCAGGGGATACCCAGAATGCCAAAAGTAAATTAAACAGGAGACTGGGGCAAGTAAGATGGCATCCTCTTTTATTTGATGTGGACAGAAATTAATTTCTTGCCCATGTCTAAAAATTGTCATCCAAAGTTCATTCTCGCACTTGAGATTTTGGCTGGTGAAGAAAAGCATTCATTTGTTGTGAATCATCTTGGAAGAGTGATAACTCAGCAGTTTGAAATGAGTTGCTTTACATGCTGGTAGTTCAGCCAATCGATTTGAGACATGCTTGGAAGAAGGACTTTTCCACTTTTTGGACTTGGCATTTAAGAAAATGACTGAAACCTGGTACTTTTCAATTAGCTCTGAGTCTGTGAGTAATCATAACTATCTGACTTCTCTAACATATGTGCCTATGTGCATGAGTGAGAAATTTTCCCACTGCCTCAGTGACCTTAGCAATGTTATCAGAGACTTACTATGTGTTAGGACAAGTACCTTAGCAGCAGCGAATCTCTGGGATATGAAAAACTATTTGAGAAAATAACTGCTTAGATTTTAAATTTGTAACTTTAGTTGCCAAAAATATATTGATTTCTTGTAACAAGGGTAAGCTCTACCTTTCCAGACACTCATGAATTAAGTGGAAACTAGTCTTAGTGCCAAATCTCTTTTCTTACTGTAAACATGTCTACAACAAACACCTCAATAAGGCAGGCATAGAGACACCAGAGCAAGTTTTATCCTAATCCAGAGTGCACACAACAAAAGGCATATCAAGACGCATTTTTCAACTGTATTATACTTTATTGTAAGTTTTAAGATTACATGCACTTCCTTTCACTTCATGGCCTAATTAAAAGAGCAATATCATCTCCCAATGTAAAAGTCATCTAATGCAAAAAAAGTTTTGTTACTTAAAAACATGTACATATCAAAAAAAAAAAACAATAACAGATAAAACAAATACCTGGAGATCTCACAGCTGAGAATTCCGTAGAGGATCTAGGGGTTATACTGGACAATGGTCTGACCTTCAGCCAGCACATTGACTCTTTAGCATCTGAGCTAATGAATGTACACTGATAAGTAGAAAAAGACAAATAGGATAAAGCATCTTTTTGATGAATCAACTTCCATAATTAACTCTCTAGTCTTCAGTGACTTGTTCTATTGTTCTACGGTATGGTCAAGAACAAGTAAACATGAAATTGATAAATTACAACAAGTGCATTTAACTTTGCAGGCCTTCTGTTAAGCGGCAAAAGGAAGTCCGATCACATTACCCTAACAATGAGACAGTTTAATTAAGCATGTTCCCATACCTGACTTTCTTTACATCAAGAAGGCTACAGTGATGTTTAAAATCAGGAATAACTTGGCTCCCCAGTATTTAACTGAGCTTTATTGTACTCACTCTAAGATGCATAGGTATAATACTGGGAACAAAGACAGCTTAAGCCTACTCAAATGCTACACTTCACTTGAACAAAGATCCTTTATACACCTTGGAACAAGAGACTGGAACACTGTTCTTTCCCCTATCCAGTCTAGTCCCAGTGTAAAGTAATTCCAGTTTAATTTACAGAAATATTTACTCTCCAAATTTTTAAATTGCCGTCCATAATGTTCACTTAGTAAAGTATATTCTACAAAAGGCTAAAAGATAGGAAAAATTGAAATGTTTGAACTTACCGTTTTCAGCCGTCTGCCGTCACCCTGATGATGGCAAACAGTCCAAAACGTTTGGTCAAACATTTTAATTTTTTCTTATCTTTTAGCCTTTTATAGAATATATTTTAAATTGTTAGTTTCAATAAATCATTATCCTTAAGTAACATTGTCAATGTTCTCATAGGTAATATCAATATTGTGCTCTGCAAATTTCTACTGTTTTATTCTTTATATCTTAATGTAAATTAATCCGGAAAATCCCCCTCGGGAAGGATCACGATTGTGATCTACTGTGTACCTGGGGATTTACTGAAACATTCTTTAAGAAAGGGATACCTATAATGTCAGGAATGAGAGTATCTCCTTCAATGTTAGACTGAGCTCGAAAGTGGACAAGCAGTGATGCTTTTTCATCTTCCAGTTGCATGATTGTAATCTAGTGTGTACATACCGTATTTCTTCACCTATAAGCCGAGACCCTGAAAGTCAGGGTCTTTCCATTAGTCTCAAGCTGCCCCCCCAAAAAAGTAAAACCACTGGCTATAACCTGGGAGCAAAATTATGGATTTTAACTGGCTATTTGAGCAACGAACCTCACAGAAAACATAAGAAATTGACTCGCTAAACACAAAACCCAATGAATTACAATAAACACAAAAGAAAAAAGCAAACCAATGAAGAGATAATGAATATCAACTGATCCACATCTATAAGGTTAATGTTACCACATGACAACAGATCAACCACAACAACAATCTCAGTTAAACGTTTCAAAGTATCAATCGCTCAAGTATCCCTTTCGTCGCTGTTTCATTTTATCATCATGCCTAAAGCATGCTGTTCCTCGTACATGTGTATAGTATGGCTTTCAAGATAAAAGTTACCACAGAAGTTGAAGCAGTAGAAAACAACTCGAAAATCGCTCAAGAATATGGACTAAGTGAGCCCATGGTACGATGCTGGAGAACAGACAATGCGACTATTCTTCTTGGTGAGCGGAAGATGTCTGCAAAATGTGCTACGATGGGCCGTTTCACTCTAAAATATCCCGAACTAGACCAGCAAGTGATGGAATGGTTTTCACAGCAAAGAGAACAAGGTCGGTATTTACGTTTTTTATCTGAAATTGTAGGAGTTTTTGAAGAGTGGAATGATGTCGTCTTTCAGTGCATGGGAAACAGACTTTGATTGGTCAGAAACATTTTGTTGTCATGACGATTTCACAACATGTCACGAAAAGAGTGCTGCAGTCATGAATCTACGGTTATCTCACATCAAAATAAGATTGTTATTTTACTTTTTGTAGGTATTGCTGTGAGTGGATTGATGCTTCACCTCAAAGCTAAAGAGCTCTCTGATGATCCTTGTTTCAAAGCTTCCCGTGGATGGTACGAGAAATGGAAACGACGCCACTCGGTCAGCATGCGAACCAAAACAACTCTGGCCCAGCGATTGCCCGCCGATCTCGAAGAGAACATTGTGTGCTTTCATCGCTTCGTCATTGCAGCAAGAAGACGCGCCGACTACCCTTTATCCCGCATCTACAACATGGATGAGACACCCATGTGTTTTGAGCTGTCATCGAACCAAACACTGGAATTCGGTGGGAGCTGAACAGTGCCAGTAAAGTCTTGCAGAGCGGAAAAGCTGAGCTCCACCTTCGTTCTTGCTGATGCTGCTGATGGAGTAAAGGTGCCCTCGAAAGTCATCTTCAAAGGTGTCCGTACAACGAGAGATCTGTTTGTGCCTCATCCTCTTCGTGTTTCCTTCCATAAGAAAGGGTGGATGGATAAACAGGGCATCCGAGAATGGATTTGAGAGAGTTTGCCATTTGCTGAGCATTCCCTTTTTGTGTGGGACTCATTCCGAGCTCACTTGACTGATTCCGTGCAAGATGACCTTAAACAGCAAAACATTGACATCGCAGTTATCCCTGGAGGCCTAACCCTGGTTGTACAGCCCTTGGATAAGTGCCTAAACAAGCCATGCTGAAAGTACTTGGCATGGATGACATCAGGGCCATTTGAGTTTACCCCAGCTGGGAAGAAGGTGCCAAGCAGAAGTCTTGTCCTCAGCTGGATCAAGGAAGCATGGGCAGAGATACCCCAAGAGATGGTCATCAAATCCTTCAAGACCTGCAGTATTTCCAGTGCCTTGGACGGAACAGAGGAAACCTCAGAAGGAGATGACGAAGACATTGAAGAGAACGAGTTTGAGACAGACAGCGAAAAGGAAACGGATGGCAAGTAAACCATTGGGTTGAAAGCCCTTGCACACATCCGTCAAACAGCTCCTTTATGAGCCACCAATTTTATAAAAGTGAATAACCATTATTCAGAAGTTATTTTTGTTGTGTTTCATTACTTCTACTTCATTGCTAACTTGACTACAATCGGGGGGGGGGGTGTAAAGTTATTTAGCAACTTTTAAAATCTAAAACCCTCGGCTATAAGCCAAATCCCATTTTTCATGGAAAATCTCTTAAAATTTTGAGTCGAAAACTGAAAAAATCACTTGGCTTATTGGTGAAGTATGGTATGTTGCATTTGTACTCCTTGTAGAAATTGTTTCCCAATTCACGAGGGATATGGGTATCCCCTACTCTTTTAATGTAGATGTACTCATCAGCAATAGATGCAGTGCACAACATGTACATTAATGTACAATATATATTATAATTATTACTATACAAATGAAGAGTGCTTCTTTTCTTGAATGTACTGCCACTCTTCTGCTTGCTACATCTATCCAGTCCCTTAAGGAGCGAAAATGGCTGACTTATTTCAATAAACTCCACAGAGAGAACATCTGAACTGGTGATTCTATCACTCTTGGCTATATATGCATTCTTAATAGATTGATGTTACACAGCAGCACAAGAAATGTGCAAGCTAAAATGGAGAAATCAAGACATGTTTAATAAATTCAAATTCTTCGAATGATCTTGCATGTGTTCCTTGTTTGCTCTCATCAGCTCTTAGAGCTTGCCACAGGGTACCCAGTTGAGATGTCCTCGCCAGAGGGCACTGTGAAGGAGGGAGGTCTTCGTGCTTGGTTCAGGTA